AGTGACATGTCCAAACATAATAATCATTATATGCGTGGTATGTGAAACATCACTTATTGCTACGCTCATTGCGCAATGTGGCCGTTTCGATAGCTTCAATACACCAAAATTAGTATTACGTGAAGTTAATAGACAACGAAGGGAAATGACACGTCCAAAATGATAATCATAGCATGCGTATTAAGTAAAACATGACTACAAGCTTCCCTCATTGCGCACTCATGGCCGTTTCTTAGCTTCACTTATACCATGTTTGGTATGAATGACGAAGGTATATGACTGCTGCCAACATAATAATCATGACATACTTGTCATGCAAGAACATGACTACATGCCACAGTCATGATGCGCTCGCGGCCATTTTGCTAGATTCACATATACCGAATTCGCTACTACAGGACGCAAACGGCCGACGAGGGTAAATGACACGTCCAGACATGATAATCATGACATCAGTGTCATGTACAACAAGACTACCTTTGACACTAATAGTGCGCTCGCGGCTATTCACTAGCGCGAAATGTACCGAATGGGGTATTACGTCAGCTGATTGCACGTCGAACACAAGTGTCAGGCGCAAACATGATAATCACGATGTGAAATTTATGTTAGGCAGAATTTCATGCCTACCATTGCTGGTGCTCGTACTTCTGGAGTTAGTGGTAGCGTCGTTACTGGACTTAAAGCAACATACTTGAATCTATTAGTAAGCGATCGCACACAACATTTCATCTTGTTTTTACTGGTGCCACTTCCGTCCGCTTGGCAACGTTGTGCTGATTTTAAAGTGTCATATCAACGTTCCTCATTCGTGCTTTGCATCTCATCGATTTCCACTGTACGGGGGATTTGATCATTTTTTTTCTGTTTACAATTCCTTTATCACGCGTTTTAAATGAGAAATATACGTTTGAGAATGGTCCAGCGTCTGCATTTGAACTGAATTTTGTGTTTGCATGCTAGATTGCTGCACTATCTCTATGTAGGTGGTTGCAATGTACAGCCACGGCCATGGAGGTCCATGTATAGCATGCGATGAGCTGGTTTTCCCTCTGCGGGGCGAAACATCGAGGCAACATCGGGCTCTGATGTGGCCAGCCTGACAGCTAGAACACGCATGCTTCTAAAATAGCAATTCAGAGCCCGAAACTGCCTCGATGTTTCACCCTGAAGAGCGAAAATTCGCTACTCGCGGGCTCTACGCAGACGTGGTCACGGCTGTACTTATCACTGTAGAACACCACCTGACGGCCTTGCAGCTCTCAACCTAACAAGAATTGTAGCTCGCCTGGCCTTTAACTCATTGAAAGGTCATATTTCTCTAAAGAAACGGCCCGATTTTTAACTTCTGATCCTGCGAACCTATGGTTTGCATAGTTTTCTATATAACGCTCCTTCTTGAGCGTGTATTGTTTAGTATTATCTTCCTGTCTTGCTCTATTTTGACATTGTTGGCTTTACAGTGTCTGCAATGTCGGAGTTTTGCTGATTTCGAGTGGTCGCACTTCTACTTTATTGCTTCCTGTCAACTAACGAATGGCGCGCTCTTGTTTCGCAAACTGATTGGGTACTTCTACGTGATTATTACGTTCAGCATATACGTCACGGGTGGTTGAAGTGCATGAAAAGTAAACCCGAAAACTTTTTAGCTGCTAAAGAATAGTCTGGCGTTGCCGTTAGGCTGTATCATAATTTGTTGGCGTTTAGCAGTAGTACTTTAAACTCTGCAGATGTAGTAGTGGTCCTTAATTGGTAGTCACATTTAAGTACTATAAATTTATTACTTGTACACCTAGCTTAATGACGTAAAATAGTAAATGAAAGGGTGAGGAGTGAAATAGTTCTAATTGTAGAGAGCGCGTAAAGGCTAGAAATTTCGTACGAAAGTAATGTCGTGTTTTCAACACCCATCGCATTGCGTCAGCTTGAATTGATAGACTTTGTGCACCACACATAGCCACTGATTCGGGACATCGCTTTTAGTTCACCATTTTTCACACCACGTGGCTAAAGAAATTCATACTGTACATAATGTTGTAAATCATGCCTGCGGAGTTTTGCTGAGCTTTTACCATGATCAACGTCAACTTTATCATGGATTTATTGACAGGTGATTCTTTTACCCCTTTAATGTTGGTTTTCTGCACTATTCGTTTGGGAAAGGTCTTCTGGCAAAAGTTCCAGCCAGCGTAATCTCACGAAATTGCAAAAAAAGACAAGTTGTCCTACCGTACATGCAACTAGAGTGCAATTAGCGAATAACTTATCGTTGCGCTACAATTAGATTTTCAAAAGTCACCCCACACATTTTCAAAGAATACACAAAAATGTCTCGGGAAAGAAATCCAGCCAGCCAATTGTAACTAATCGTGTTTTACCCCATAATGACGTTGTAAGCATTACGTGCCTTAAGTACGATTTGCGAAAAATCAGGTGTTGCTCAGTACTAATTTTTTGAAGAACGCTCCCCATAGCGTTACCCCCAGTGCTTCCCCGTGGGGTCAGCTTTTCTGCACTAATCGATGTCCCAGATGGCTGCATATGCACAACAATAAGTCCTTCCGACACGTTATTCTTCTAAGTGTATGTACGAGTCCTCATAGTGGTATGTTTGGTCAACGCAGCCGGTTCCAGTGGGCGGCTAGCTTTACAATAAACATTTTAATCTTTCCGCTTTGTTTAGACACTGTACAATTATCTTAGGTGTTTAAGGTAACGTAGCATAGGAATTTTAGTCAAATTATAATACAAAAAATATGTTATGTCTACTTTGCATATTACCGCCTCAAGATTGCCTAATGACAAGAACAAAGATGGCCATATTGGCAGACATCTCGAGGTTGGAATGGTGTCTTGCGCACTGTTACTAACTTTTTCCCATGCACCTGCTTAAAGAATTTGTCAAAAACGGTCTTAGATGCGGTTATTACGAGCGTCTACCAACCTAGTACTAACACGGGGAACAATTAAAATTCATCAAGGTGCTATTGTAAGCGTAGTATATGCCCGTCTTGTGTCTTGTATATTAGGCCATGTTGAGGCGGCATTTTGCAAAGTAGACATAACATATTTTGTGTAATAATATTTGAATAAAAGTCCTACGCTAGATTGCCTCTAGCACCTATAATAACTTCACACTGTCTAAACAAAAAGGCAAGTTTAAAATATTTATCCTGAAGTGTATCATAGCAGCCCACTGGCATCAGTGGCGTACACCAAAGGTACCACTAAGAGGGCTCCTATAAACACAAGGTGAACGTGTCGCGTGGTCTTGTCGTTGTGTGTGGTGCTGAGCTGACGCTCTGCGGTGAGTGATGCAAACACGTCATTACTTTCGTACGAAGTGTCTTGCCATTTGTTGCTTTCCAGAATTAGAAATAATTGGCTCTTTATCCATTCACCTACTATTGTATGTTAATAGGCTAGCCGTAGATGTAATCTCTAGTACGTATATCTGACTACCGACTAAAGACCACTGCTACATTTTTAATAGAGTTTAATTACTTCTCTAGCACGCCAACAAAACAGGATACAACCTTAACGGCAGCGCCAGTCTACTCTGTATTAGATAGAAACTTTTCGAGATTACTTTATGCACTCCAACCACTTGGGACGTATACGCTCAACGTAACATTCACATGAAAATTGCTGATTAGTTCACAAAACACGAGAGAGCAACTCGTCAGTTAACAGGAAACGTTAATGTAGGAGTGCGACCACTCGAAATCAGGGACACTCGACATTGCGGATATTTTCAAGCCAACAATGTCAAAATTGAGCGAGACGGGAAGGAATTAGGACAGAATAAACACGCGAGAACAAGGGTAATCTATTTACAAAGCTCGACTATGTGTGCTTGACTATGTAGGTTGTGTGTATCGTTTCGTCAAGATAAATGCAAAGTTGTGCGACGTTAAATGACGAGAGCTTTTTCTTTTGTCCGGTGTGTGAGGCATAGCACGCATGTGGAGCTTGAACTTGGTGGAGGAGTTCAACTGAATTGTAGTGGTGCCCGCTTCTGACATCGGTGGTGTTGAAAAGGGGCCCCGCTTGCAATATATCACTATCTTAGTTTAATAATTGTTGGTTGAAGACGGCCTTTGTTAGCTGTGAGTGTTGATCGTGCCTTAGGCGCGTAAGCTGCGACTTGTTGTTAATTTATGTTTATTGTTTTAGCACGCTAATTCATTTTACGGTGAGAAGTAAATGTCTCTAAGTCAGCTTCATTTGTGGTAAGTTCCTATTTCAAGAGACAGGGGGTCATTATATGTTGTACTACCAGACGTGTTTTCCTGGCGGGTGGCCTAACGTATATATGTTGGTGTATGCATCCGCGCCGACACGCATCTTTAAAATACTGGAATACTCGAGTTGTTGCGTGTTGCAGTATGTTGCTTTGTCTTACGTTGCGCTTGCAAAAGTTGCATTTGTGCTTAGGTATTCATGCAGTCCGTCATGTGAAATTCAAGCGGTCGTTTTAATTCACCAGCAACGTAGGTTGCTTGGTGTGGTCCGAACCCTTGATTTTTTGAGCCGTTCGTTAAACATGAATTGTACTCGAATAAATCCCTTATGTCTGCTCACGGCCAGATCACTGTATCTTAAGCATGCACTTCTAAAAAAATAGTAGAAAGCTTGCAACCACAAGCAAAGAGTTAGTAAAAAAACTATAACTAACCTTCTTAGGCACTTAAAAACTTTTGTGACCTTTTGACTAGGTATAAGCTTGCAGACGCTTAAGAGTTGTCTTTTGCACACTGTTACTAACTTTTTGCCATATACCCGTTTAACTAATCTGTCGAAGAAACCACAGATATCATTATTAGGAGAGTCTAAAAATTTATTACTATCACAGAGATCCGTTTAAGTGCATTAAGGCATAAGTAAAAAGTGCATAAGTGAAAGCATAAGTGCATAAGTAAAAAAGGCAGCTTATAAAATAATAAATCATGGTAGCTGATATCGACATGGGGAACAAGAAGTGACGTTATCATTCATACCTGTTAATAGGCTCAACGCTAAGCCAAGTATAATGGTAAGAGCAGCACTAAGAAATCCACTCCAATATGACGAAAACTTGTAGAGAGGGAACAGATAGTCGACATTCCTGAAAAACGCAAATGCACAGGCCATTGAAGACAAGGACAAAGGAACAAATAGGTTGCTCAAGTGCAAAGTAACTTGGTCATAGTAAATCCGATGGTGCGAAAAAAGAGCATCTGGCTGGGATAAAAGATTAGTGACAACTTTGAAAGACGCTGCCAAAGGTTAAAATACATTTACTAATGTGTTTCGGCTCTCATGCGGGAGTCTTTTTAACAATATTGATTGTGAACAAGGCTCTCGTGTGTGAGCCAAAACATCAATTTTCAGTTTGTTAGACATCTTTTAAAGTTCTCAATAAAAGGAAAATTATGATAAGTGAAGTGCAACTATATTAAGGGGGAGTAATAATCGTAGTAATGAACAATTATAGCAGAAGCCAATTTACCAACATCACTCATTTTCATCCGCGGTCAGTGACTATGATGATGAGCGTAGATATACATATCGGAATAACTAAGGCTGTAAATACCATATTTTTGTAAAAAGCATAATTATGTTTTGTCATGTGACATGAGTACGTCCCCGATCTTTGAGGATGGACCAGATAAATGCACCTCAACTCTAACAAGTGTTACACATACATCACTGGTGTGGTAGCCGCGGGTACTGGCGCGTGCCGATATTGTAGCCAAACTGATTGATGACTGATATGTAGGGTTTAACGGCCCAAAACCACCATATGATTCTGAGAGGTGCCGTAGTGGAGGGCTTCGGAAATTTCTACCACCTGGGGTCTTTAACGTCCACCCAAATCTGAGCACACGAGCTCACAACAATTCCGCCTCCATCAGAAATGCAGCCAACGCAGCCGGGATTTGGACCCGCGATCTGCGGGTTTGTAGCCAAACTATATCAGCCATGGCCTATAGTTGGGTACCTGTGTCCTATCAGTGCTCTTGTGTCATTCCTGAAGAGGCAATTTACTTTATGAAAACGAATGCCTTGGTCAAATAAGATAGTTTCAATAATGATACAAAACAAGACAATCAAAAGATTTAGTTTGCGTGACTTAAAACTTTCGACTACGCATCATCAGATTATGATCTACTACTAGTTCCTTAAATCACCTGGTTCTACTGAATCCCTATTACAAGATTGATTGCACGGCAATCAACTGGTGCTAGAAGAAAGAAACATTGTAGTGGCCTCTGTCTTTTGAATGACAGGCTGCGTGACGTCGTCGCGGGAATATCACAAGCAGAAATGTGTTTGTGCATACATCAGTAGAAAAAGATTTTCGGCAACCCAGGAGATAACATGTGCGTGGCCAATATAGTTGTTGCTTCGATGAGCTCTTTGAGAACAAAACCACGAATACGCAGGAGATTTGGGTGGCCGTTTGATTGTTATTGCAACGGAAATGTATTAATGCCATCTCGTAACAAGATCACGCAGTACGTGACGCCAAACAGGCAAAAAAGAGTGTTCCACACTCGCCCTATTGCTAAAATGTGGCGCTGACGGAAGCTGCCAGGTATAAATGCACATATATACTCTATAAAGTGGACGGGGAGATAACCACTGCCGTAGCTCAGTGGTAGAGCATCAGACGCGTTATTTGAAGGTCGCGAAATTGGACGCTCACAATATCAAGTTCATTTTTCATTCACTTTTCTTTCTCCACATTTCAATTAAATTTACCTCTAATAACATCCCCCATACTTTCCCTTGCGTTATCGTTGGTTCTCGTTAATATTGTGTCTAACAAAAAAAGAGGCCCTTACTTTTACACTTCCTTCATAGAGCTAGAACAGGAGTGAATTATCGGGCTGACTTGAGGAGAAACAGAAAAATGCCCCTGCTTGCTATTCCATGTGCATACTTTTGCACGCATTCTGTCTTTAGAAGGAGCATAGAGCCCTTATCCAAGGTAACTGAGCAGTTCCTCCACAAAACATTTTAGAGTGTAAGAGCATCTCCAAGGAAGTAGTAAAATAGAAGTAGCAGGAAAGTTCACGGTCCTCACATGCTAGTAATTGTGTCATCGGTATGCTGCACTTACACATTGCTTTGTTCATTGATGGGAACACCAGAAAATGTCATATTCGCTGGACAAAGTTCAGTCGTGACAGGCATCTTGGGAAACCTAATGCCGCTGAATGTTTTCCCAATTGCTTGCCATAATGTCAGGCCACTCAGCAGCGTTGTCGCAACTGCAGCGCCCTGTGAAAGTTTTGGTTACAATTCATAGTAATGCAACACACAAGCCGTAAAAACCTACTAAGGTAAGCCTATATCTTTATGGCCTATATCAGATAGAGAACCGCCACACGTTCTTTCTTGAAGTGCTTTCAAAGAGGAAAGTTTTTATAGGTTATGATCGGTATATATATTTAAATACACAGTATTTCTTGGCGCACGAACGATGCTTCGACAGTAGTATCTATCTATCTATCTATCTATCTATCTATCTATCTATCTATCTATCTATCTATCTATCTATCTATCTATCTATCTATCTATCTATCTATCTATCTATCTATCTATCTATCTATCTATCTATCTATCTGTATATCTATCCTCCTGCGTCGAACTTTCGTTATGGTTGTCCCATCGTAACGGTTCTACTATTTTGGTATGATATCATAATGAGCATGACATGGCATGCATGTGTCTGACAAAGATCGAGTACACGCCATGACGTGATGACGTTGGCAATAAATGTAAACGTTACGTCAGAGATCAATCTGGCCGGTTTCAGAATCATAGAAGGAACCTTAAGGCATTTCAACGACTGTGGCTCGCGCCATCTGGGCTTCCCTATAGGATGCGTTGGTCATCGCAATGTGACACGAATGGCGTGAACTACAACATCTTGTTGAGGTCCTTTCGTAACCTAGGATATCAGAATACTGATGACTTGACATAAATTGAATTGCGTACACGTCATGATGTTAATCGTGCTCACTATCATATTCATCGTGAAATATTTTACAGCGCAACGGGTTATATACGGACAGAGAAGGGACACAGCGCTGAGATGAACACGATGAACATCCACCAACTCGCCCCATTCTCGATTCTGCTTCAGCACTATCATATTACTAGTATCATTTCAGCAGTGGCTCGCACTGGCCCACTAACGAAACGTTGTGAATATTTCTACGCTGTGTTGAGTGTTTATTACTTTGTGTTGGTGGTCCGCTGTTATAAAAATGTAACAAATATTGTATGCGTGCAACTATGACTATTCCTTCCCAATTAACCGCAACGCACTCTATTGACAATTCCGCTTAGCGAAATTCACCAATATTTACTTTTCAATTTAAAAAGGTCATGACTACTGATTTTCAATATTAACCAGTGTCTTATGAGTCGGCCCCCGGGCACTCACAAACAAGCTGACAAAAATTTAGCCCAGTTGGTCGAGCGCTCTAACATTTTAATAAACATGGGGTCAATTCGAAAGTCGTGTAGCACTGGCTCTTGGGAGCCGTGGCAGAACACGGTATCTAATGTCTCAGCTTCTGCATTCCGGCAAACGATTTTGATCCTGTTCAGCTGCGCGCGCAATTGAGCTATTTTGTATACGTTTATTTTAATATTTCTTTTAGCTTGTATTAAAAAGACAAGGGAAGGTAGGCTGCGTTAGAGCCGTTTATCCCGAAAACGTGCTGGCAGCTAGTATTAAAAAAAAACACATCAAAATAGGCAAAAGTTGAACGAAGTGAAATAATAAAATTAGCAAATAATCAAAAGCGCTATGCATATATACAATATGTGGCGTATAAAAATTGAGCAGAGCACAAAGGTACAGTCCAGTAGGCACAGTGTGGTTCGCACATGCATAGCGTTCCTACAAATAGCTACTTAAATTTTATGACTGTAACATATGTTTATTAATCACTGCATACTATAAAAGGTAGCCATGATAACAACTATACACAGCCCTTTAAATTTGTGTCTTAAAAGTCACAACACAACTCGGAGAGAATGATGATGAGTCGGGCGAAGCGTCTGTCTGTCTGTCTGTCTGTCTGTCTGTCTGTCTGTCTGTCTGTCTGTCTGTCTGTCTGTCTGTCTGTCTGTCTGTCTTTTTTTGTCTGTCTGTCTTTTTTGTCCGTCTTTCGACGAGCACGAGCTGTCGAGGCCCTCCACTCCACTTTGTCCATGCCCAACAAACGATCCGGCGTGGCGTTCCGCACCCGCAGCTCTGCCTCATCCATGCCCAACCAACGATTCGCCACGTACGGCGACGATTCAGGAGATCGATAGAAGCACTCCTTCCTTGCGCACCCAGGCACAACACACGCAGCAGGCAATCGGAGAGTAGCGATACAGCGTCATCAAGAATATTTTCACTCGACTGCACTTCGTATCTACGTCTATGAGACAGCGCCGTCTATTATATTGTTCGAGAGATACTGTCTTCCTTTTTCTCTCGTATCTTCTCTTGGTTATACCTGACGCAGGGCAAGCTTAGACAAAGAGGTTTAGTCCCTGCAAAGTCATAATGCGCGCTGAGTGCGTTTGTTAGATTATCAGGATATGGCCACGCTCCAACCACTTTTCTAATTGTAAGCAGTCATCGGTCAATGCTGTTCAAACTACCACTGATCGGAGCATGTTGTTCATTGCGTTGTATGATTTGGCATTGAAATTAAACGTTTGCAGTGGCTGAACTTTCTTCTTGCCCAACAAAATGTGGCATATCTTCGCGCTGTATATTTCACTTATATCTAGCACCTGAAAGTTTGGCTTGGCATGACATCATGAGAACAGCTTTTACAAAACGCGCCTACTTGGCATCCAATCGATTTGTTGTGATATTGAAGTGCACGTAGTTTATGATGGCACAGAAAGTACACCGAGAAAATCTGCGACGTTGTGTTACTGCGAGTTCATATGGTCTTTTATGACAGCACTAAAGTTGAACGGTAACTGGTTGGTTATAACTTGGGCCCAATGAAACTAATTCCTCATACCTGCTCAAAAGTCTTCCCAGCCCTCAAGAATTCTGGTGGTTAAGGCAGGTAGTGATTTGCAGTTTTTAAGTGGAACGCTTTGATTTACTAGTTTTCACTTCTGATTATATTTTGTCTAACAAAGAAAAACGAGCCCATAAATCTACACATTTCTTCAATACTTACTAGGCCATTCGCCCATGGGAAGACCAACGCCATAAAAAATAGGCCAACAAAAGGTCCTGTAGCACTGTTGTAGAATACCATAATTATCTGCAAGGTGTGAGAATAAAATTGGGAAGAATAAATAGGGTGCCTTCCTTTCACAAAACATATTTCTTTTATGAAATCATGTGCCCGTTGTTGAACAGGTAGTGTCACGACATGAAGTGCCAAAGCTTTGACTCATTTCAAGTCACATTATATCCACTAATTAACAAAACCTCTTAATGATGTATTCATCATGGTCAAATTTATTTGCTCGTACTGCAAGCCACCCCCATTAGTGGCAGACCCATCAGTTTGACACAATATTGATTCTAATTTTGTGGGTAATTTGAAATAAAGAGATATTCGCTCTAATGTTTCCACCTAATTTGAGATATTTACCAAGCCTGCTAGGCCAGCCGAAAATACGGCCGCTCTGCTGGGTTACATCAGAACTGTAAAGGCGATAAATGCTGTCTCGCGTGTAATTAACGCAGTTTCCGAGCCCTGCGCGCTTGCTCTTGTGTACATGTGTGTGCCTGTGCGTGTTCTTGCATATGTGTGCAGGCGGGTGTGTGAGTGTGCGTGCGTTGCAAAATTGGTGATTGGGGAGTTTAAAGTAAACAAAAATTTGGCCCTGTATCTGCATGTTACCTTGCAAATGTCGTCGAAAGACGATAGGCTTGCGTATGGAGAGGGTGAACAAAACATTTATTTGATGTTCTGCGCAAATATATCGGTTAATGGTATTCTGGACGCGCTGCGTTGGAGTGACTCAAGCCTGCAGCGGAGGCGAAAGAGTGCATCAAGCCACGTCACACGTGAGACATGAGTGCTATCTGGCAGTTATCTTGGAAAACTAAGCGCGCGCCCTGCGCGGCCATTTCGGAGGCTCGATTTAATTGATATGTGGGGTTTAACGTCCCAAAACCACCATTTGATTATGAGAGACGCCGTATTGGAGGGCTCCGGGAATTTCGACCACCTGGGGTTCTTTAACGTGCACCCAATCTGAGCACACGGGCTGCCGTCTCCGAGGCAGTAAAGTGTAGAACGCAAGGCGATGGGTGGGTGACACCACCGTGTCGTGTTAGCAAAGCATTCGAAACACTTGCCTTTTCGTGCAAACGTTGCCTGCTCAGCGCGACGTGATGAACGCTACGGTCCTTAAAATTACTTAAGAATGCCTTTGATTGTAAGAGATGCTCATACAAAATATTGAGGTGTTGTTAAGGTGCCTCAGAAATGCGCAATAATTGCTTTTTATATAGTTGAAAATCACACAAGTATGAACGCTGAATATTGAGCAATGTTGGTGGGCGCTGCGAATGGCGTCAGCCTTTCGGAGTATCGTTAGGCCACTTTGGTTCCGCTTAGGGTACCGTTAAGGGCGGACAAACAGACAATTGTACAGAGAGAGAGAGAGAGAGAAAGAGACAGACAGACAGACAGACAGACAGACAGGCCATAGGATGAATGACATTGTGGTTGTGACATTATCTGGATATTATTCAGACTTAAAATTATCGAGTTACTAATATCCAATAATCAGCGTTTAGTAAAAGTATCATTTCCACACAAGCACTTTTTGGTCAATGAGCGGGAGGAGGTAATTACATTCATTTCACTCACGGTCACAAGAATGTCGCTTCGTTAATGTTTGAAGTAATGTACGTGACGAGATTGTTTTCATGCGATAAGCAATTATTCTTGTACTAGTGATTAATTGCTGCATTTCAGAAAACAACAGGTCCTAACCAAAAAAACACGTTGTAGGAATATGTCTGTCGGCAATCGCGCAGTTCAGTGAATATGACCGTATTTTCGCAAAAGTGTGACCTGCCTGTCTACCGTAAACATAGTGTGAACTGCGCACGTGCTCACCTTCGCGGCTGAGCCCAAGTGAGGTGCCGCTATACCATACGCGGTCATGATTGCACCGACAACAAGAGCTGAAAAAAATCGCAGTTTTACCCGAAAGGCGATGTGCTGATGGCGACAACAATTCATCAAACAGGTATAAAAATGTTCATAGTAACAGCTATATAGGTTACGGATTTTATGATCTTTGCTCCCAGGACCACGGGTTGGCTAAAGGAGAAATGCAGGCTCACTCAATTCCATTGTCCCGTTCGCTAGAGATAACCCCCTCTGGTGTGCTGTCTGAGTGACTCACCCTTTGCCTCAATCCTGTCTGTGACTGTCTTGCATGCTTTTTGTTGATCCCACAGTACGTGTGAGATAGACGTTTAGCGCACTGGTGCTTGTACGGCCCATCACGGTGATAACGACCGCAGTAAACTCTAGCTTTCAGTGCTCGTATCACGGCGATAACGACCGCAGCGAACTCCAGCTCTCAGTGCTCGTATACAATTGCGCAACAAATATCAAACTAGGGCTGACATAACTGAAATGTCATAGCATTTTTCGAAGCATTGGGGTGAGTTGCCCGTAGTCCTGTCTTTGACAGTGCCGCCACGACATATGCATCAGCGCCTTTAGTGATAATTTTATTTGGCCCTTCCTCATCTCTCTTTCATATATCATTCTTATTCACCCTGTGTAGGGCAGCCAACCGGACACGTGCCTGGTTAAACCTCACTGCCTTCTCCCCTTTGTTTTCTTCCTTCCTTAATGGAGCAAGTTTCCCACTGCAGATGGTACAGAAGGCTGACTATACTACTCAACATGTGATTATTTCTATAGGTATGTGCTCTTCGTGGGAATAGTAAAGGGGTGCAGGTTCTTTGAACATTTGCTTATCTGCATTGATCTTTGTGCTTTCGGGTTCAGAAAACAGCACTATGAGCGTCATGACTCGTAAGTTTACGAACATCTTGATGATAGTGCAGAATTCGATGATATAGAGAGTATGGACAACACACTTACCTATTCCTTTTGTGACTGCGGCTGAGTGTTTTTCGCTCACGCTAAAGTACCGTGCTGCAATATCGACGTAAATGATCGCTGCTTGAGAGTTGATCAGCGATGAAATCGTGCTGCCAGACGCATAAGTTGTTATTAGGAGCATGTCACAAGCGGTGAATGTTCAGCGGCTGTTAATAAACACCAAGTTTTACAGAATCGGATGCCACAAACCCTAAATAACACCTTGTATGTATGAATATGTCGTTTTGATATCATACCATTGTGTTATAATAACAAGCTCCTGAATTGACACAAGGCTCACAAATAAAGGTAAAGTAAACCAACGTTCACAAAAAATATTCCTAATCGTTTGGTTAGAGCTATTGTGAATCATAGTCACACTGAACGGTTTTTTTTTGCCATCGGCAAATGGGTAAAAGAACAAATTAGTGAATACTTTTGAAATTTAATGCGTGCAACTATAGGATTTATTTATTATCACTCTGTAGAAATATATGTTCTTTTCAGACACTCTTTCTCGTCTACTAAATATAAGGCATTTGTTTTTTTTTTGAAGGACTCGGTGGGACATTTGACATAATTTTACCTTGTGGCAGCACTTACTACGCCAGCTAGAAACAGTCCTGAGAAACAGGGAAATTCATTGAGATTCCTCTTCACATAATAGGGAACAATCTGAAAAAAAAAAGAAGTACGATAAACAAAAAAATACCAAACCTTCGAAAAAAACGTCATTCAACAATTCAGAAAGAATGCGCCACAGTTACTCACCTGATCATATGATGTGATGGCACCAGTCATCATTGGATCACAATCACGAAACCAGTAGATGAGAGCCACGCCGAGGCTTGAAGCAACCGCGTAGTAAAAGAGCACCAGCAATGTTCCAACAACGGCCGTCCTAAGAGCATAAGTCATAAGTCATCGATGAAAACTGCCCTAAGTGCGTAATTCATGAAGACTTCTCACACTTTCAGCACTGCGAACGCCCCATCACATTTTAATGAAATGTCACTGTACGTAATACGTATGCTCATACAGAGGGGGGTCAATCTGCGAAGTTGTTACGTTAAAACAGTTTGTAGGATAACTGCAAGCGAGTATATGTTGAAAAAATGCGTGGTACTTTTGTGAATTTGCTAAAACGACTCAAAATGATTGCCAACTGAAGGAGTTGGACACACTAAACTCACGGTGTGATTACGAGAGGCACCTTGGCGCATGGCTTCTTAAGTTTCGACCGTGTGAGCTCTTTACGTACCGCGCATTTAAATCTATGTACACGGGCCTCAAGCGTTTTCGCCTCCATCAAATGGAGCCGCCACGACCGGGATTCCTTCCCACGACCTTGGCTTCACGACTAGAGCACCATAACCACTAGACCAGCATAGCAGGTAAGAAAGAAGAGGAATGTCACTATACTTTAGTCACAATGCATCAAAGATTGAAACATTACAATAAAACTCGACGTACCATCTGGCTCGTGAAGCCTCCTTTCGTGTTTGTCAGAAGATTTTTGGCATTGTAAACTTCTTTGGCCTACCAAACAATATCCTGGACCTGGGCTCAGCATGCTGATATTGCGCACTTTCTGCATTACCCTACAACCGCTGATTCCTAAGGAGTAGCGCCACTTTTTCTTCATGCTCAACAAACAGCTGGCACTTCTCAACAGAAGCGTTACATCATGTTTGCTTTGCCTGGAAATCACACTTTTTATCTTTTCTAGACTAGACTTCTTCGCGCTTTCTAAAAGAAGTGAGCTACAGCAGCGCTTGAGAGGTCACGTGACTTCCTGTGCTATTTCCTGCTCACGAGTGCTCTGTTGTTTTTAATGCCACTTTCGCATGAGACATGTGAACCTTCGCCCTAAAAGAAAAGTTGTGACTCTAATAATAAACAGTTTAGAGGAGCACAGTGCTTCTGGATTTCAATCGTGCAGATCACCCGGTAAATCGCGGCAATAACAGTTAGATACACGCACTACCGTTATAATATGACAATATTAACAGATACTTGGGGTGATTACAACAGTAGCATTACCAGTTCATGTATCGTGTTGGCCGTGGCAGATACAGCGCCCGGCAGATGACCGGAAAGGTAACGGGTTTGATCATCTCCGCAGCGGTTACATTTTCGTGTAGGCACAATGGTAGAGACCCATGTACTGTGCAAAGTCAAGTGCATGGTAAAGAACACCGTATGCTCGAAATTTCTGGAGCCTTTCGCTACAGCGTCTTTGTTATCCATATCGTGGTTTTAGCATCTAAAACCCGAGGAATTAATATTGTTACAGCGAGTTGTGATGAAAGGGTTTTATTTGCTAGAGGTGAGCGATGGTCGTTCGCGGTAGCGCACTGCAATCTTGCCAAGCCTCTTCGTCATCCTTCCATTCTCTTCTCTGCCTTTCACATGTCCATTACACTTTCCCGCAAGTAGACGAAGCCCGCAGGGCGAGTTATGATGCACACGGAGGGTAAAAAGGTTCAAGGCGAGTAATGTGAGTGGGCTGCGTTCTGCTCGATCACCGACCATTGTACAAAAGACGAGCTATTACGTAGGTGAGCTAGCTTAGACGCTCCAAAACTACAACTGGTCCTGAATATCGCTACAGAAGCTTTTGACACAATCCACGCTTGCGTTGCGGTGTTTAAAGCAACACCAAGTCACATTTTTTGAATGATACTGGTTCGTGACGGTCGTCGTATCGTTCCTTTGAATGACGTTGAGAGGCCAGAGTCCGAAAACAAGCGATTCGGCGGGCTTCTTCTGTGAAGCACAAGGTGTTCAATACAGAATCGTCCTTGTGTTGAATGAAGGGTAAGAAAGTGTCGAGAGGGCTTAGAGCCAACCTGGTGCACAACAAATAAACTGGGCTAAAGTTAGTTGTTTCATGTTTCGCCTTGTATTACGCGTACGTGATAAAAGAGGGCACGTCATCCCAGTTCTTGTGATTGGTCAAAACGTACATAGCAAGCATGTTGATCAGCGTTCTGCTTCTCCGTTCAACGAGGCCATTTGTCTGCGGATGATACGGCGTGGAATGACGAAACTGTGCCGTGCACATGCGAAGTAATTCTTCAATAAAATCAGCAGTGAACTGGCGGCCATGGTCGCTGATAATAACACGCGGTGGGCCATGGCAAATGACCACTCAGTGGAGCAAGAAAACTGCTACGGAAGGAGCGGTAGAAGAGGGAATGGCTGCGGTTTCGGCTTACCGCTTAAGATGATCCGCACAGACGGTTATCCAATGGTTCTTATTGTTAGATAACGGACATGGACGCAATTCCTACTTGTTCAAAAGGCATACTGAGTGGTGTTAATGGCTGAAGGGGACTTAGTGTTGAGGTGGCCGGGAGCTTGTGCTGTTGGCAGTCTCGCAGCTAGTGACGTAACACTTCGTTGTTTCGTACATCTGGGCCAGCAAAAGCGTTCCTGCGTGCGGTGCAGCGTTTGTACGAAGCCTAAATGACTGAATGTTGCATCGTCATGCATAGCACGTAGAACATCGGAGCGAAGGCTATCGGAGACGACTCACGAAAACGTGCTCCAGGTCTAGAACAGTTAGTCTTACAGAGGAAATTGTGTCTAATCGTAAAGCAACCGCTGTGTTTGGAGGTACGGGTGGTGCCAAAAAGAGGATCGAGGTTGAGATCGTTGCGTTGTTCTCGCTGGAAGTAAGCCGTATCAGGGAACGTGCTTGTAACAACACCAAGGCAATCGTCGAAATTCTCAGCATCACAGTCGGTAGTCACAAGAGAAATCCGGGAGAGGCAGTCTGTGTCAGCGTCACGACCGCCACTCTTGTACGACACCGTAAAGCAGTATTTTTGCAGTCGCAGCGCCCAACGTGTGAGGCGGCCAGAGTGATCACGCAAACCGAACAACCAGCATAACGAATGATGATCGGTAATTATTCTAAATTGCCTCCCGTAAGGATTACAACGAAACTTCTGTATGGCGAAAACAGCTGCTAGACATTCCTGTTCCGTAACTGTGTAATTAGGTTCAGATTTGCTCAGGCAACGGCTGGCATATGCCACGACATGTTCTGCG